ATTGTGGCCTTGACTCCCTGTGCCACCACCACAGGGGGACCAGCCTGAACAGCTTCCTGCTGCTACCCTGCTGTCAGGTCACCCTGAATTTACTCACTCATTTACGGAATTAAACTAATCAGTCCCTGCCTGCTGCCAAGGCAGCCCCTTCTCTGGGGTCATCCCTCAGCCCATCCTCTCACAGGGTACAGGGGCAGCCTTCAGGTTCAAAAAATATGGGTCAGGTTTCCCCAAATCCGGGAAATAAAATATGGGTTATAAATTAATAAAATACATGTTATAAATTAATAAAATACCAGATATAAATTATAAAATTCAAGTCATGAATGACAAAATAGTATCAAACACCCCTGGGCAGCCCTGGGTCAAAGACCCAGCTGGAGACAGCCAGAGAATGCAAGACCAAGTTTTATTGCCCTGCAATTGAAAGAGAATTAAATGAAATAAATAAATGTTTCAGGCTGGTGTGGTTGAAAACACGATCTGAGCATTCAAGCCCATTTGTGAAGACAAGAGAAATCATTTGCATAACCGTGTCAAAACAGCAACTGCCAGGGCACGCAGCTGGCAGGAAGGTGCCCCCTTGCTGGGGGTTATTTAGATGTGTACGAAACCACACCAGAGCCTGGGGCAGAGCCCAGTAAACAGCCCCAAAGATAAGTGCCCAGGCTTGTAAGCAGATTGTAAACAAGCTGAACCGACTCAAAAATAAACACCTTTCAGCAGCTTCAAAATATTTATTATTTCTATTCTATTGTCATAATAAAATGTCATTCCCAGGAGAGCCTCAGCCTGGTCTGGGGACTCAGCAAACCCTTGTTTTCTCTCATATTTGAGGTAAACAGGTGCTGATCCCCAGTCAGGTGTGCTGATGGAGAAAGATTTGATCACAGGACTGGTGCTCCCTGTCCTGAGGAATGTGGTCATTGAATTGCAGACCTTGTTATGACTCCCTAGGTGGGAATTTTTAGTTTAATGTTAAGAATTTTCTAGGTAGGGAACATTGGTGGCATGGTGACAACAAGGTGGTGGCAGTGGTGGCTGAGGGGTGTGATGGGGATGGCTTCCAGGGTCTTCTTCAGGCCCTCAGGAGGGAGCAGAAGAGTTAGGCTTACCCAGTTAGGGAGGACTTTTACCCAAATTTGCCTTTTTCCCTCTCCACAGCCAGAGTGGGCAGAGCAGACAATGTGAGGGGGAGTGGAGGAGAACACTGGGTGCACTGCAGGGCTGGACCCTGCATCCTGTAGGTGTGGTGCTCAGGGACATGGCTGGACCTGGCAGTATGATCTTAGACAGCTTTTCCATCCATAAAGGCTGGTTCCTACCCCAGCCAGTGACACCTTCACCGACAGCTCCCCACCCTGTGCACATGCTGCCAGCCCCATGCCAGAGACAGAGCCCTTTTCCCTTCCTCTGCAGCCACTGCAGGGAAAAAACCACCAGGTTTAAACATTTCTGCCTTGTTTTGGGCACTTTTGGCTGGACCTCCCCAGGCTGGCTGTGGGCAGGGGGTGCTGATGCACATCACAGCCCCCCAGCTGAGCCAGGCACACTCACAGGCAGCTGTTTTGACCGCAGCCCCGTGGCTTGGAAATAGCCCTTGCTAAAATTACAGCCCGCCAAAACCAAGAGCCCGCCAAAACCAAGAGCCCTCTTCAGCCAAACACCAGCTGGGAGCCAGGAATAGCCCTGGCCTTGCCACACTCGGCTGCCTTGGCACAAACTTTCCAGCACGTGGCACCCCAAGCACTGCTGCCCACCAGGGCAAAAGCGGGAAAAGCTGGGGTTTGGCCCCAAATCAGCAATGGTTCATGGCAGGGGGTGCATTGCCACGTTCTTTCCTGGGCAGCGCAGCATTCCCTGCAGAGGCACAGCACCTCCCCGGGGTTTGAGTCCCAGCAGGGCTGCCCAGTGTGTGCTGAGCCTTTGGGGTGGTTTTGGTGACCAGCAGTACAGGGGGTCTCTGCTGCCAGACCCTGCCTGGTGTCACTACTGTCCTCTGCTGGGGACACCACAGCCAGCAAGGACAGGACCCCCAGGTGATGGGGACCCTGTGGAGTGCCTGCTCCCAGAGCTACTGCCCAACATTTTGGTCCCCAATGCCTTTGGGAGCCACAGCCTGGTCCCCCTGGGCAGGCTCCTGGTCCCACTGCCTGGGTGCCCCTCACACCCTGGCCTGGTACTGGAGTGGACTGGGGGGCTGCAGCCACTTGGGGCTCACCACGGCCAACTGGGCCCCCATTTTTGCCAGCTGGGGCTGGGCCCACCCTGGGCTGAACCTGGCCATGTCCGTAGGGCAGCTGCCCTGCGGCCTTTGGGCACAAGGGGCTAGAGCTGGGAATGGTGGGACATGGATGGACATGAGGGAACAGACAGAATGGAGGACATGAGAACATGGAGGGGTGGGGAACACGGGGAGGGGACATGATGGGACATGGGAGGAAGAGAGGGCACAGCAGGGAGGTGGCAGGGCAGAGGGAGCACAGGAACACTGAGGACAGGGACATGAAGACACAGGGCACCATGGCATCTGGACATGGGGGATGGTGGCAAGAGGCCATGGGAGCCAATGGTACAGGGGACACAGGGGCCAGGGGCATGGAGACACAAGGAACAGTTTTAAGGGACAGCAGCAGGAGAACGTGTAGCACAGGGGCATGAGGACACAGAGGACAAGAACATTTGGAACAGGGGCAGAGGGGAAAAGTGAATGAGGACATGAAGGGGTAGGGGCACAGGACTTGGGGGACAAGGGACCAGGGACACAAAGGAAAGAGCCCCAAGGACATGGGGAACAGGGACAGGAGGACGCAGGTGGTGATGGCAGGACACAGGGACACAGGCACACTGACACGTGATGCCGGTGGCAGTGGCAGAGACGGGGACACAAGAACAAGGGACACAGGGACTCAAGGCACAGGCACACGGAGCACAGGTGACGGTGGTAGGGATGGGGACAAGCGCATGGTGATGGTTGCGCAGTGACAGTGCCGGGTCACAGTGACATTGGCGGGGCACAGTGACATTGGCAGGGCACAGTGACAGTGTCAGGGCACAGTGACAGTGACGGGTCACAGTGACAGTGGCAGGGCACAGTGACAGTGGCAGGGCACAGTGACAGTGCCGGGTCACAGTGACAGTGGCAGGGCACAGTGACAGTGCCGGGTCACAGTGACAGTGGCGGGGCACAGTGACAGTGTCAGGGCACAGTGACAGTGCCGGGTCACAGTGACAGTGTCAGGTCACAGTGACAGTGGCAGGGCACAGTGACAGTGGCGGGGCACAGTGACAGTGTCAGGGCACAGTGACAGTGACGGGTCACAGTGACAGTGTCAGGGCACAGTGACAGTGCCGGGTCACAGTGACAGTGCCGGGGCACAGTGACAGTGTCAGGGCACAGTGACAGTGTCAGGNGCTCTGCTCTCAGTTCCTGCAGTGCTGTCCCTGAGGCCCTTCTTGTCCCCACACGGTGTCAGTGTGGCTCCACTGCACAGTCCTGGGGCTCACGGGGCGGGCAGGAGGCAGAGGGGCTGTGGCCAGCCAGGTGCCAGCCTGTGCCGGCGAGGTTCAGAGCAGCCCTGCAGGCTCCTTCGGCGGCCGCCCTGGGCCGTGCTGGGCGCAGGAGGCGGAGGGGCTCTCCCTGGCTGCACAAGAGTGCAGGTGCTACGTGCTCGTGATTGCTACAAACACCAGCCCAGCTCTACCCACAGCTGCTGCAAAGCTGCTGGAGACCCTCAGCTCACTTTCAGTTTGGAGGAACTGGGGCCTTGATTTTCTTTACTGTTGTGGAGCCTTGAAGCTCCTGCTCTTGGTGTGGTTCCCATTCCCTTTCAAAGCTCCATTTCTCTGTTCTGCTCTTCCCTTGTGGCAATTCAGAGAAGCCCAGGGTGGCACTCTCAATTGAAGCAGGATGTGGTTTTTCCCAGCTGCTCTGTCCCTGCTGCTGATCAGCACACAGAGAGCACAGTGCATGTAAAGAGTAAAATGTGACCTCCTGATCATTATACAAAGATGTTAACTCAGTTGAGTGTTGTCACCGTAAAGTGCCTTCATTGTTGAATTCCTTATGCCTGATGTTGTTGTGACAGCCTTCTTTGTTAAATGCCACCCTGCTTTGTACCCATGCCCTTTGCTGTACCTGCGTTGCCTGCGCTACTCCCTGCACACCTCAAATGGCAACCAATGACACCACCCAGCACACAAATGAGAGAACTCCCATGGGGGTTAGCACCCAGCAGAACTGGAATTAACATTTAAAGACCCCTAGAACCAGCAAGCCATTGCTCAAACAGGACTCCAAACTACGTCAAGGAGCAAGGAAGAACGTTGAGCTACTTACTGATGCTCCAGGCCTCATCTCCATAATTAAGCAACACTCACTGTGCATGACTACCCTAGATTTTCAACAAGTTGTGATCTTCCCAGGGATTCTTGTGAGGATGTGGAAGCCCCAGCTCTGCTGTGCAGCAAAACTGAATGCCTCCTCCTCTGTGTTGTCCATGGGGAGCAGCAGTGGTGTGCATGACCCCTTGTCCCCCACCACCTTGAGCTGACCTCAATAAAGGCATTAAAAAAGGAGCACGTCTCCTTGCCCATTCTTTGCAGTGCCCTGGGACCAGGAGGCACCAACCAGCCTTGGGTGCTCCAGGATAGGCGGATGTGTCCCCATGGCGAGGTGGTGCTGTCCTTGCTCTGTGCGCAGAACTCCCGGTGCAGTGAGGCCATGGTCTTACTGGGCAGGAACAGGTTTGGGGTGGTGCCCTGCTGGACTGAGAGTGCATCACGCATACTGGGGAAGGAGCAGGCAACCAAGAGCAATCTTTGGTGGGACAGAGGTGCTGCAGCATGCAAGAGCAGCACTGAGACAGGACCGCCAGGGAACACTGAGCACCACATATGCATGGAGGGCCTGTGCCTGGGAAGGTAGGAGCTTAAAAGCAGGTCAAGTCCCACAGCACAGAGCCATCAGTGTGAGGACATGGAGCTGGTGGGATTGCTCCATGGCCTGGGCCCTTCTCCTCACAGAACTTGCCCACAGCACAGGTGCCATGGCCAGACTTGCTGTGCCTGGATGGGGCCTTTGGGCACAGGGACCCTGTCCCGCTTCCTTGGGAAGGTCTGTGCCCCTGGGACACTGACTGACCCCTGTCTTCTCCCCTCTCTTCTCTCCCTCTCCAGGTTCTCTGGTCCAGGCAGCATCACTGAGTCAGCCATCCTCGCTGTCAGCCAACGTGGGAGACACAGTCAGGATCACCTGCTCCGGGATTAGCAGCTGGAGCTATGCTGGCTGGTACCAGCAGAAGGTTCCTGGCACTGGCCCTGTCACTGTGATCTACAATAGCAACAACAGACCCTCGGGCATCCCTTCGCGATTCTCCGGATCCACATCCGACTCCACAGCCACATTAACCATCTCTGGGGTCCAAGCCGAGGACGAGGCTGTCTATTTCTGTGGTGGTGCTGACAGCAGCAGTGATGCTGCACGGTGACACAGAAAAATTGGGAAGTGGTCCAAAACCTTCCCAGCTCAGCTGTCTCTTACAGTCCAATCGTTGTGCCCTGACATTTGGGTAAGGGGTGACCTCCCAGCAGCCCTGTCCTTGCATACTCTTCCAGGGCAAATGTCCCCCTGTGCTCCTCAGCTTGTGTCCAGGGCCCTCCTGGCTGCCTCCCAGCCCAGCTGTGCGAGGACCCCCTGGATTTCACACAAGGGGGTTTAGTCTTGTGGACCCAGCCCTGAGAGCTGAGGACATACCATGGGCCAGGGAGCAGGGCCAAAGCTTTGCCTTCAAAACCTAGGAAGGCTTCCCATGGACACAGCAGCTCTGGGGTCATGCATGAGGCTGCTGGGGCAGATCAGGGCTAGTCAGGGGATGCTCTGTTGTGCTGCAAGAGGAGCTGCCAGGCTAAGGCTGCATTGGCTGTATTTACTCAGTGCTGGCCCACTGGGCTCATGTTCAGCCTGTGCAGGAGCTCTCTCTAGCCCTCAGGGAAGCACCTGGCCCTGGACAATGTCCTGCTATGACCCCAGAACAGCAAGGAGCCTGAAACCATCATCATCCTCTTTTGTCTGAGCAGCTGGCACCTGGCTGGCCTTGTCTCCCTCCTCGCCCTGTTATTCATCCCTGGTGCAGATATCCTGGCCAGACCCTGTATGAGCAGCTGGGGACTTTCAGCACAGAAGTGCTATCCCTGTCCCACTGCCTGGAGAGATCTGTGTTCCCAGGTCAGTTACTCACCCCTTCTCCTCTTCTCCCCTCTCTTCTCTCCCTCTCCAGGTTCCCTGGTCCAGGCAGCAGTGACTCAGCAGCCATCCTCACTGCCAGCCAATGTGGGAGAGACCATCAAAATCACCTGCTCTGGGAGTAGCTACAGCGACTATGGCTGGTTCCAGCAGAAGATCCCTGGCACTGGCCCTGTCACTGTGATCTACCAGAATGACAAGAGACCCTCGGACATCCCTTCGCGATTCTCCGGATCCAAGTCTGGCTCCACAGGCACATTAACCATCACTGGGGTCCAAGCCGAGGACGAGGCTGTCTATTTCTGTGGTGGCAGGGACAGCAGTGCTGCTGGTATAGTGACAAGGACAGATTTTCAAGTGAGGTACAGAGGAATTAAAAATGGAGATTTTTTTTGTCATTCTCACAACCAAACAGAGTTGTGGATGTGGGACAGGAGCAAGTTTTTCTTTCCTCCAAAAGATCCTGAATTTTTCCCATTTTGTGTCCTAGAGAGTGCAAAGTGACTTTGTGGCTGAGGATCACTGTTCTGCTCCCTACAAAACCCATAGCATGGCTTTGTCTCCCACTGTTCTCTGACCTACTACTAATGACCATGTTCTCCTGCTAGTGCCTCTGTGCAGGGGTACCTGGGGCTGGGCTCTGCTCCCCAGTTGTGCCTGTGGCCATTTTCCATGTCTCTTCTCCTCTGACTGTTGCATTCCCTGTATCCTTATCCAGGCATGTGGATAAGGATATATGTGCTCCTGGAACACTGACCCCTGTCTTCTCCCCTCCCTTCTCTCCCTCTCCAGGTTTCCTGGTCCAGGCAGCAGCAGTGGATCAGCCATTTTCAATGTCAGCAAGCATGTGAGAGACTGTCAGGATCACCTGCTCCAGGACTAGCAGCTGGTATGCCTGGTTCCAGCAGAAGGTCCCTGGCACTGGCCCTGTCACTGTGATCTACTTCAATGACAGGAGACCCTCGGGCATCCCTTCGCGATTCTCTGGATCCGGGTCCGGTTCCACGAACACGTTAACCATCACTGAGGTCCAAGCCAAGGATGAGGCTGTCTAAGGTAGCCATGACAGCAGCAGTGATGCTGCCACAGTGGCACAGAGGATTGTTGACATGATCCAAAAAACTACCATGGCAGAGTTCTGTGAGGAGTCCCTACATTCCAGTATCAAGCTGCCTGCCTTACTGAACCCTGTCTTTTCCCGTCTCCTTTTCCAGCTCCCCTAGTCCAGGCAGTATTGCCAAGTCAGCCATCCTTATTATCAACTAACCTCAGAGACACCACAAAGATCAGCTGCTCTGGGCTTAGCAGTAGCTAGACTTATGCTGGCTGGTCAAGGCAGAGGGTCCCTGGGAGGTCCCCTGTAACTAGAACAACAGCATACCCTTGAGAATTCCTCTGCAATTTTTCTGGTCTGCCTCCACGGCCAAAGGAGCAGAATTTGGAAAGGTAGAGGCAGGTCTGGGAAGGGTGGTGTGCAGGTGTGTGGGGCTGGCCAGGCTGGGAACTTGCCCTCATGCTCCAGAGGCTTCAGGATGCAGGGCCCTTCTGTTCCCTTTGGTGCTGCTGACAAGGGAGAGATTCACTGGTGCTGGGGCAGCGCCTGCAGTGGGGGTGTTGTGGCACCTCAGCACTGGTGGGGGACCATGAGCTTGGTTGGGACAGCTGCAGGTGCAGACCCCTGTGCAGAAGCTCCTTTGTGGGAAGGAAACAGCTGGAGGAGCTGATGTTTGCAAAGATTGAGGGGTCTTTGACCACACACCTCGATCCATCTGAGCATATTGCTGTGGCTCCTGAGATAGCCCACCCTGTGGTACTCAGGCTTGCAGCAGGACATGCTTTTCCCAGCTGTGTGCCCAAGGGCAGAAATGGACTGGAGTGATCTTCCTGTATTGGTGGAAAAGCAAGAGTGGGAGAAGTGGGGCAGGAGCAGTGTTGGGGGCCACATTTCCATGAAGAGTCTCTCCTGGGTAGGCAGGCACATAAGAGGGTGTTGGGTGCCACAGCACATCTCCATCAGTGTGAGGTCATGAAGGTCATGGGATCACTCTGTGGCCTGAGCCCCTCCTCTCCTCACAGTGCTTGCCCACAACTCAGGTGTGATGGCCAGACTTGCTGAGCCTGGATGGGGCCTTTGGGCACAAGGACCCCATCCTGCTGCCATGGCAGGTCTCTCTCTCTCTCTCTTCTCTCCCTCTCCAGGTTCTCTGGTCCAGGCAGCAGTGACTCAGCAGCCATCCTCGCTGTCAGCCAATGTGGGAGACACGGTCAGGATCACCTGCTCTGGACTTAGCAGCAGCTATGCTTATGCTGGCTGGTACCAGCAGAAGGTCCCTGGCACTGGCCCTGTCACTGTGATCTATGCTAATACCAACAGACCCTCGGGCATCCCTTCGCGATTCTCCGGATCCTTGTCCGGCACCACGGGCACATTAACCATCACTGGGGTCCAAGCTGAGGACGAGGCTGTCTATTTCTGTGGTGGTGGTGACAGCAGCAGTGCTGATGAGGACAATGAAGCCAATGAGTAATGGGGAAGTGAGACACAGAACCCAGGGTCAAGAGAGGAAGGTTTTGAGCCATTTTTTCTCATGGTCAATTATCCATGTAATAATGGAATTGAGGCAGGTTCCTGTCCCCTGTCTAAGGACATGAATGTGCATGACAAGGCACAGGAGGTGACTCTTTCCCCTGTCCCCATCATAGGAATGGCACGGCCTCATCCCCAGCCCTGTTGCCATTTGCTTCATGCTGCCCCCTCCTCCTCCTGCTGCTGCTGAAGCTGCCTCTGCTGCCTTGCCCTGGGCCAGGCTGGGATCTGATTCCCCCATGTTTCTGTAGACATGACCAGGTCCCTTTCCCTCAGAGGGTGATGTTCTAATGCTCTGCCGCTGCCAGCTCTCCTTCCAGGGCCATAGGCCTCTAATCCTTCTCTCTGTCTTGAGGCTGGGTGTCCCACATGCAAAGCACTAGAACTATCAGGCACAGGGGACTGTCACACTACCTGGGCAGGGCTACTGGGGAAATAACTGACCCTTCTGGTGTTACCACCCACCCTCTCCAGGCTCCCTGGCCTAGGCAGGATCACTGAGTCAGCCAGTCAGCCATCATCTGTGTCATTAACCATGGGTGAAATTGTCAAGATCATCTGCTCTGGGAGCAGCAACATCTATGGCTGGTACCAGCAGAAGGTTCCTGGCACTGCTCCTGTCACTGTGATCTACTACGATGATGAGAGACCCTCGGACATCCCTTCGCGATTCTCCGGATCCAGGTCCGGCTCCACAGGCACGTTAACCATCACTGGGGTCCAAGCCGAGGACGAGTCTGTCTATTTCTGTGGTAGCTATGAAGGCAGCAGCAGCAGCAGCTATGGTGTGTGGTAACAATGAGTAACAGAAAGTGACAGACTCAAAAAGGTTTTGACCCTTCTCCTTCCTGGCAGTGCTTGGTGTAGCTGTGTTCCCCACAGCCTCTTCCTACTGATGACGTCTTCCTGTGCTGCCAAAGCTGCTTCTGTGCAGTCGTTCTGCAATGGGCTGGGCTCTGCTCCTCAAATGTGCCTTTGACCATGTCCATATCTGACTGTTGTATTCCCTGTAACCTTGTCCAGGCAGGTGTGTATACCTGGGACAGTGACAGAGCTCCTCTTCTCCCCTCTCTTCTCTCCCTCTCCAGGTTCCCTGGTCCAGGCAGCATCACTGAGTCAGCCATCCTCGCTGTCAGCCAGCATGGGAGAGACTGTTCAAATAAACTGCTCCGAAGGCAATCCCAAAAGATACTTTGCCTGGTTCCAGCAGAAGGTTCCTGGCATTGCCCCTGTCACTGTGATCTATGCTGATGACAAGAGACCCTCGGGCATCCCTTCGCGATTCTCCGGTTCTGCATCCGGCTCCACAGCCACGTTAACCATCACTGGGGTCCAAGCCGAGGATGAGGCTGTCTATTTCTGTGGTGGCCAGGACAGCAGCGGTACTGGTGTTGAAGGGACAAAGAGGAATTAAAAACATAGATTTTCATTCCTTCTCTCGGCCAAGCAGAGTTGTAGATGTGGGACTGGAGCAGGTTTATGTCTCCTCTGTACAACCATGACTATAAATTCCCTTTTTTCTCCTAGAAAACAGGAGATCAATTTGTGGCTGGGGACCATTGTCCTTGTCCCTACAAAACTCATGGTATAGCTGTGTCCCACACCTCACTGCCTCTTGCTACTGATGACCATGTCCTCCGGCAGCTGCCAGAGCTGCCTCTCTGCTGAAATGTTTTGGCCAGGGCTCTACTCCTCAAATATATTGGTGACTGTGTTTGGGTCCAATCACCTGTGACTGTGGCATTCCCTGTAACCTCGCTCCCCAGGCAAGTTCTCCTGGGACACTGACTGACCCCCCTCTTCTCCCTTCTCTCCCTCTCCAGGTTCCCTGGTCCAGGCAGCAGCAGTGAGTCAGCCATCCTCGCTGTCAGCCAACGTGGGAGACACAGTCAGGATCACCTGCTCAGGGGGTAGCAGCAACTGGTATGCCTGGTTCCAGCAGAAGGTCCATGGTACTGCCCCTGTCACTGTGATCTACAGCAATAACAAGATTCCCCAGACCCAATTCCAGCTACACAAACACGTTAACCATCACTGGGGTCCAAGCCGAGGACGAGGCTGTCTATTTCTGTGGTGGCTGGGACAGCAGCAGTGGCAGCTGGTATAATGACACAGAGAGATGTGGAAATGAGATAACAGAGGATTTAAAGATGGAGCTTCTCTGCCCTGTCTCTCAGGGCTGAGCAGAGCTGTGGGCTTGATGCAGCTTCATGTCCCCCTCCATGACCATTGGCTGTGAATGGCCTCCTCCTTGCCCCATGCTGTGCAGCAAGAGACCTTGGGGCAGTACAGTGCCTGGCATTGCTGTGCTGTCAGCCCCACCACCTCATTCTGCTGCCAGCCATGTCCTCTTGCTCTGTCTCTTCATGGGGCCGTGGCCTTGGGCTCAGACCATGGGCTCTGTCTGAGGCAGGGAGCCCTCTGTTCCATCAGGACCTTTTGGAACAGGAGCCCTGTCCTGCACGTCAGAGAGGGCTGTCCTGGGGCACTGACTGACAGCCCTCTTCTACCTCTCCCCCTCCATTATTCCCTGGTCCAGGCAGCATGGCTGAGTCAGCCATCCAAGGTGTCAGCCAGTCTGGGAGAAACCATCAAGATCAGTAGCAGTGTGCCTGGTCCCAGCAGAAGTCCATGTCTCTGTGATCTGTGATACCACAGACACAGTAGTACTGGCCCCTGCCAGTGTAGGGCTGATGCCAGCTCATCTCTGGTGACAGCAACTGTGCCAAAGGACCCTGTGTCTGTGTGAGAGGCTCTCCTCTGTGAGCACAAGCTGCCGCGGGCAGGGTGCCATACAGAAACCCTGATGCTTGCGGCCAG